TATTTACTGATAAAATCCATCTTGGCACACTAGACAAAGTACAACTGGAGTGGTATACACAAACCATACCAATGTTTTAAGATTATTATTATTATTATTATTATTATTATTATTATTAGGTGAATGAATAATCTTCATGAATTTCATCAAATAATCATATTCTTTGTGTAAATAAATGTGTACTTTTTAGATTTACACAATTTCTTCACACATTGATGATAAGTTTATTCTTTAATATAAACATAAATTTTACTGAAGTCTCAATTTGATAATAAGAAAAAGTAATGGGGAAAAATGATAACAATCAAGTGAAAGTAATTTTTTTCAGAAACGAAAAAATATTTCTTTCAATTTTTACGCATAAAACAAAGCGCACACATATTTATTCATTAATTCAGTCTTTATCATATGATCTAATAGAAAGGGAATTAAGATCGAATTACGAAATTAATCAATACTACATTTGGCGAAGTTTAGACAATGAGAAGAAAACAAAGTAAGATTAGAAAAAAAAGGAATAAGGTATAGACATTTCAATTTAAGTGGATGAAAGATAAGAAGAAAGTATGAAGCATAATAAATAAACGAATGAGTGAGTAAGTATAGTCATTAGTTAAGGATGAACTTTCTTCCATCGTTATTGTTTACGTTTTGTATTATCTTTTGAATAGAATGAGTAGTATCAACCATATTAAGAATAACTATATTAATGATAATAATAATAATAATCATAGTTAACGAAAATGAATGAATTCAAACAAAATTTTACTAGTCCTGTAATTTAATTTAAATGGATAGATGACCTCATTGTTCTGTGTATGCTTCTTTTTCCTTTTTTTTGCCCAATACTCTAGAGGATTTCAAAACTTTTAAGCTTAAATTATAATTGAATACCTTTTAAAATAATTATTAATAGTGTAAAGACTTGTGTGTATTATCAATGTTATATTTTGTTGATCAACATAAGATAATGCAATCAAGTTATTGATGAATAGCTTTCTTTCCTGGTACATTTTATATCGATGATTTATGATGACGATAATGAAAGGAAATAAGTGTATTTACTGACTCAATAAATTAACATGATTGTCTTTACTAATAGGCATCAAAAGGAAAGACATTCGAAAACTAGGAAGGAATGGGTAGCTGTTGTATCAGCTAACTAATTTGAAACAGCTTTTCAAAGCTCAGTTGATATGTGTGACAAATGTACCATCAAATAATGAAGTCTCCCTGAAACTACCTTGATTAACTGCCTATCTTTGTGCTAAATTCAGTTGAGTCAAACTTGACAGATAAGTGTTATTGTTGTAAATTTTATGTTAAAAGGTGCTAAATTATGTTTGGTGAGGTAGATAGTAAGTAGTGACAGTCTCTTCAGTATCGCGTGTACCATTTATTGACGAATTCCCAAAGTTGAATTCCAACTTATTTACCAAATGGTATCACCCTGCACATCGTTAAATGTAACGATTTTGTTTTCGATTATGGTTGGCATCGGGAGTCCATAATTCTAATCAGTTTCAGATTAGAATGAAAAATGTGTCTGTTGCTGCATAATTCCTAATGAGTCTCCAAAAAGTGTTATCCATTTTAAATTACTCTCCATAGTTAATGTTATTTATACTGTCTACTTAACAGTAACAATGTATCGTACTCAGAGAAAAAAACGCAGACATTATGATATACTTATCCATAGCACATGACTTCGGTTAATAATAACCATAATGTATTTTTAGTATCCCAATGAACAATCAACCTAATGCCCAATTTATCTGAAATCATCAATTCTATCTCTGATAATAATACTTATGATTTCGGTTATCTGTCAATGAATGACATATGTCTTAAAAATTATCGAAAATTGAATGGCGCTTTCAAAATGAATATTATTTTCGAATTAGTGCGATAACTACTAAGGGTTACTGTGAGGTTGTCGAAGAATTTCAGCACTTATACAAAATAAACTTTTTTCATTTTGAGTGTAATGGAGATGGTAGTTGTACCTTAAAATCATAAAGCAAACCACTAGACGGCCGTTTCGTCCTGGTACAGGGCTCATCAGCTATGCGCATCCACGATTCCTGCTTCTCTTACGATTCGAACCCAGGAACTTCGGTCTTGCGTGCGAACGTCTAACCTCTGGACCACTGGGCCGGTATCCAACGGAACAGCCTTTAAGTGCTTTCGGTTTCCTAATGGTGATCTAACGATGATTGATTCATGATTTCAAGGTAAAACAAAACAAACTGTTGACAACCTACTGAGCTAAAACGTAGTGATTACAACTAACTGTCGGATTCGCTCGAAAGTGATATCATTCGAATAAGTGAATTACTAGATTAAAATGTTCAACAATGATTCACATTATCATCTGGATTCAGTCCATCACAAAAATACAAATTAAATGGTATTTATCCCAGTTAAAGATGTTGTATTTCGGTTCGAGATAATCTTAGAATGAAAACGAAACTCACACTAAGATAGGACTGTCAGAATCAGTTAATTTTTCATTTTATTATGTTCAGTGCTTAATATTGTATGATTTTGTTTTTCCAAGTTTGACTGAATAAATAAATATCTAGTTTATACCCAGATGAAAAATTTCATCTTTAAATTACCATGAACAGTCAAACGAAATTTTCAAGAAAAGTTAAATGACGACAGAAATTTATCTTGTTTTTCTTATGACAGTAAATTCAATGAACAAAATAGATTGCTATTTTTGTGAATTTCATGTTTTTTATGTTTATTGTTTTCCAGGAGGAAAATGACAGTATCGAAATAAAAGCTAGAATTACATATAATTCTTACATGAATTTATAAATTACCATGTAATCTCTTGAATGTCTAAAATTTCGAAATGATGAATCTGTACTAAAATACAGATCTAGAGTATAACTGGTAGTCGTTGTTTTATGTATTATAAACTTTAAAAAAAGTACGTCTTTTAAATTAACTTTAGTATTAATTTTGTACTTTTTAGCTTAACATAGTTGAAAACAGACAGGAATGAGTTCTCTTATGTAACTCAATACCTGTTGTATTGAAATGAATCCACAATACGTATAGATGCCTTGATCTGGTGTCAAAGTCTTTTTTTTTGAATTAGCAGAAGGAATCATTTTAAATTTGCTTCATTTGATTCAATTTAATTATTCTTTTATTATTAGTAAGAAATTACCCCGAATGGATATAATCAGTTGAAAAGGATTTATAGCTAAAGTGAATACATTTGGTTATTCTATATTTTCTAAGTTCATTTATCACGACTTACTTCAGATAATATTATGCAAAATAAAATTTAGTGCTCTTGTTTGTCAAATAATTTAGCTCAGAAAATGTAACACGGATAATATTGATTGATAGTAGTCTGTTGTACTGAGTTTTAATTATTCTCTATTGTTTTTAATATTTCATTACATATTTATATGATATTATATCATTAATTTGTTCAAAGTTTTATGCTTACTTTTTAAATGAATAAATCTTCAAAATTACATTTGAAAGCCGATTTTAATCAAAATTAATCTACAAAAACTTATTTGCTAAACACTAATCATGTTTTCACTAATGCCTAGCCTCAAGATGAATTCCTTAAGTTTTGGTGAAATATGTAATGAATGGTGGAGCTGAGTGATCACAAGAATGAAATGAACAAACCTGAATAACACTAAAATAACGTCTTAATATACTATGAATTAATTATTGTTAGAAATTCAAGCCAACTGGACAATAACTCAGTGATTCACAGGTAACATGATTACTAAGGGACTTGAGAGTCTTAAGTTAATCACATGGTGGCTTGTGTATACAAGTTTCTGAGGAGTTCGATGAGAGGAAAAACAACTGTTGAGTGTTCTCTGTTTCTTAGCAGTTTCCCAGTTCATATTATTTCGTAAAGAAGCTAACTTTAATCAAAGACAATTTTCATAAATCTATCAATCTAACAGCAAAATCTTTACAACGTTTTCATATCATTTTATAATAATTTAAATATGAATTCATATTTCATGACAGCATTTCTTGTTTAAATTTTTTCTTCATTATCTAGGACCCACTTATTTAATGTAATTATCCGTAATCTTACAATGGCTCTGCTGTTTTTTGATGGATTTCCTCCACCTTTATGCATAAATAGCTTTAATTTTAAACTTGAATCAGTTTACAAACGACTATAAATATCGAACAAAAAGATTCTCGCAATCAGAATACCAATAAAGATAAGACATCAATGAAGTCGATCGATAGGATTCATCAAAAAAATATTAATTCTTATCGACTAATATATTTTTTTAATTCCTAAACTGTAACGTCGTATCGGATGGTTAGAGATAGTCAGCAGAAAAGCCTGTTTGATTTCAATCTCTTGATAATTGGTATTTTTTAAAATGGTGTACCGACAATTTTGAGGCAATCAATTCTCCAGGGAGAATTTGAATCTGATTTGCTACTTACAAACTATACGGGCGGCTACCTAATTTTTGTTAGACTAAGCTATTTACAGTTGACTGATCGATAAAATATAATCAGTACCAAAAGACTAGACAAACATGACACTCACTAGTCACTGCTCAATGATTAGTCAGTCGTAATGTTAATATTTTTTTCATGTCACCTAATATTTTCTAGTGTTTTTCTAGTTCTTTATTATATAAGAAATTGACTTTTATCAACTAGCTGACCCTATGTAAAGTAAATTAAGTAAAAAAAACATCATGTATTCCCTATCATAATATACACTTTGACAACTTGATTTCTAAAATTTTTTTACACTATTGATAAGATAATTGATGTTAAGAGAAAAACCGAATTGTAGAAAGAATTTTGTGGAAACTTTCTTTGTTGACAGTCAAGTGATTGTCAAAGTTATATTTAAACAAAAAATGTCTGACAATGTTTATAGAATATATATTTACTCAACGGTAGTTAGTTCCGTTTTTCTTTAGTTATAGAAATCATTTAAGAAACGCACTTATTTAGTAATCATGTCAACTTACTTCTTTCGTAAACATACTTATATCTTCTTGAAATGAATCAGATGAACAAACATCAACTGAACTGTTGGAATTCTCATCTCTTGGTATACAGGTGGCTAATTCACATTTTTCAAATATCAGAGCAAGCAAAGGAAATAATGGATGACTGTAAGACAAATAAAACAAAGAAACAAACAAACAAGTGGTTTAAAATTCAATAAAAAACTTAATATTATAAAAAGGTAACTGTATTTATTATTATGAAACTAGAGATTTCAATGTCACAAAATATATATATACATATATTTTAAATAAACCATTCGATTTATAACATAGTTATTCAGTAGCGTGATTTAATTTGGCAATATTTAATAATTCTTTCGAAATTGGCTTTTGACTTTATGGATCAAGTATGTGTTATGATTAAAACTTTGGAAATGTCAATATTTAAAATAAATATTTCGTCATTATTTATACCATTATAAGCATTCTCAAGATAGTACAATAAATATATATATACATTGTGATATAAGAAATCTTTACAGAACTAAATATTAATATGATTAAAGATTTATGATAATTGTCTAATTTGAAGTTTATCAAGTACTACATATGGAATGTGACTGGAAATTTTGATACTTGAAGTCTTCACTAAATAGTCGTTTAAGAGTATAATGTTTCTCATAAAATAATCAAGGCCCTAAATTCACAATCCATAGAGTTTGGCGAAATAGAACTGTAGAATCCTAATTATTTCAGTACATTTCCGTGTTTTTTTGTCCGGATAATTTACCAACTTCGTTTTAGATGTTTATAAAGTAAGTAATCAACAAAAAAGAAAACATTACAACTATGTCTAATGTTTATGTTTATTTACCATAATATCATTTTACAAAGATAAACGAATTCATCATTCATATAAATTTCCAGGGTTTATTTCCAAATATATTTGGTTTCATTAGTTACATTTCATCATGAATTAACTCGATCAAATGATTAGTAAAATTAACTAAAGTTGTTGTTTCTTTTCGGGTAGAGCTTTGGAGGTTTGTGTTTTTACACTTTTTGAAATCATCAACCAATCATTGTTAGACCACCATTAAAAACCTGGAAGCACTGGACGGTAGTTTCGTCCTGGTATGGGACTCATCAGCAGTGCGCACCTACGACCCCCGCATCTCGCAGGATTCGAACCCGGGACCTTCGGAATTGTGCACGAACGCCTAACCGTTGGACCACTGGGCCGTCATCCAACGGTGTAGATGTTATTCAAAGGATGCATACCTTACAACTGAATTATATCAAACAGTAAAATACACTGATCAACTGTTAAATAAATAAATTAAAATGTTTAACTTTAATTGCTTTGTAAAAGTTTCACTTAATCATCATCATGTACCAATTAGATTAGGAATTTCTTTTTCCTAGGTAACATGTATGCATACATAAAGAAATAACAGGCAAACTAACCTTTTAATTTTTTCAATATTCTGTTTTACATCTAATCTATTTTCATCTATATCATTATTATCAGGACAACTACTGCTACCATCATCATTAACAGTACCAGAGACAGAATTGCTATGCGACTGAAGAAATCGTGAATAATATCCTAATGAATTAGATAGTGGAGTTATACCATTTGTTATCATTGTTGTTGGAATTGTCACTGTTACAGGTGTTGTAGCTGTACTCGCTGGTATGGATGAGTTTTGAAATGAAAAATAACCTTGATGTTCATGATGATTTTGTCCTTGTGGTTGTTGTTGTTGGTGTTGTTGTTGTAAAGGTTGTAAAACATTAAGATTATTATTGTTATTATTTCTGTGCAAATTGGAAATTCCTTGTGTAGAATTAGATTGCAATGACATTGTTAATTTATGAATATCAATTGATGAATTCAGTGATTCACTTGTTGTTGATGATGATGATGTTGATAATAATAAATTCGGTAATAACTGATTAGCTGTCGGTGGACTAAACAAGCCTAATAATGTTTCACCACCATAAATCTCACTGTTCATAATTTTCCAATTGAAATTAACAAATAAATTTTCGTTGTTATTGGTGTTGTTGTGATTCTAGAAAAGTGTTTTATTGAAAAAAAAGAATAAAAAGTAGATAAGAATTTTGTTCAACAAATTGTTAGGGCGCTGAAAACAAATTACGCATTTTCCTTCCTGAAGCATTCTCTAAAAGTCTGAATCAGATGTTTAAAGTTTTGATAATGACAGTGTTACAAATGGTGCTTTTCGCAAATACCACTTAAGAACAGTTAGGAAAAAAAAATCTAAAACTACTTTTATCAACAATTTGGGTAAAATATGTCTTATATGAAGAGATTAGTGTATGCATACGTTAATGTAATAAATGACTTCCAAATTAACACAAAAGTTTCGGGTAGCTTCTAATGTTTAAACTAGAAACAGACAAATCAGAAAGCCATTGTTTCATGTTTTAATGCAACTAATAGTTCAACTCACTATGAAAGACATCATTTTGATGATTGAAGAAAAGCTTTAATGTTACCATTAAAATATCAAGTCACTAAAAAGTATGAACTTCAATAACAGTCAAATATTCATAAATGTAAATTATTCATTGGTTTCATATCTCGATCAAAATTCACTTTAAAATTGACAACTTGGTGTCCAGACAAAAACTAAATTGTTTATTTTAAATATTTTAAAATGATTTCAGCATCTATTATATGTTATTAAGTGAAACGATTATTTAAAATCAGTAGAAAACTCAAATCATTAATTAGTTTTAATGGAATAAATAATTTTGAAGAAATTTTCCTAGACCCATTAGAAATAGCCTTTATTAAAAAGTTTTTTTTCGGAATTTTCCTACTGAAATCGAGTAATCTACATTAGCAGAACGTACATACTTCAGATTACTAGTGTTTAATACTATCTTAGGTCTTTGAATAACTCCCGATTTCCAATATCCAAATAATGTTGCATAATTGTATCGATTGAGATGAATAATAAAATCTAAAGATTATCATTATCAAACTGAAAAGTTAACATAACATTAATTAATAGCAATTTAACACACGGTTAAAGCTCAGCTCTTAGAATTGCAATCCATTTTCAGTAGCATCTACACTGTCATACAGAATAGATTCGTTTCTGTACTGTGATGTGATCGACAAATATTATTAGCACTAGGGAATAAAATTCTCTATAAGGCTTTCGGTAAAATCCTTTAATCTTAACATTCACTGACATGAAATTCGACTAGAATTATCAATCTTTTAAAGACTCGAGAAATATCTTACCAAGGCATTCCGGCTAACACAAAACCTACCTACTACTGTCCGTCGCTTGACAGAAAACGAATGATTCCAAATTTTAAAATATAAACTTAAGCTAGCTGATAAGTAATAATAAGAACTCGAATTAATTTGTCCAGTGATTTTCAACAATTTTCAAGTTCTTCATTATTACATTTTTCACCTTGAAATAAAAGGAACATAACTATAAAATATTTTCTTGTAAACTGTTTACTAATTAACTTGTATTATCCCTCATCCTATATACATAATCGTAAAAACATCATGCTACTGTTTTTTTTGTCGATTAAAATTGGCTAGCAGTTTTTACTGAACGAATACATTTTTGCACATTTACTCGTGCAGATGATTAAAATTACATAAGCTAACTGGGAACAAACAAATAAAATTTTCTATACGTCAAACTTTGTATTGATCACTTATTAAACAGCCCAAAGAAGAAAGAAAATAAATTTTGCAAACGCTTTCTTGAATTGAAGTGAACATCAATTCTTTAAAAACAAACAAATATCAACCTGCACATACACACACACCTACAAAAGATGATTAGACAAGTGTAAATTTGCATACACATATAGATAGATCCACACAAAAATAGAAGTTATTATTCATGTAATCAATGTTTATCTGATTAGGGAAAATAAAATATTCTAACACATACATTCATCATCATTTCTGCTTTGTGACATCAATCTTGATATTGATAATTCTAATCAAGAGGAAGTGAGGTCAAAAGATCATTAGAAGCCTGTAAGTTATGTGTGTTGTAACATATATATATATATATATATATATATATATATATATATATATATATATATATATACATGGGTTGCATGAAATATAAATTCAAAAGAAAGCCAACTAAGCCTGTTATTTATTTATAAATGTCAAAGTGTGTATCTATAACGATGTGCGTTTGTGGATGAAGGAATTAAAGGCAGATTATTTATTTTCTGACAGAATGTTTGATTAGAAAAAAATAAAACTTATTTCATAAGTTGAGAGAGAGAAAGAGAGCAGCAATACATACCCACAGAATCTTGACATTGATTAAGCCTCAAGTGACAGAGATTTCATGTATTGCATTGAAACTCAAATGTGTATGCGAACACTAGAAACTGAACAAGAACTAGGTTGATAAAACAATCAATAATGTGATATTTGAAATATATATACATTATTAGTCTCTTTGATTAAATGAAATTGGAAGTTCATACTATTTAATTCTATTCCAATGCGAGATCCTAAAGTTTTGAATTTGAGGCTGTACGTCCTTACAATTGAGAAGTTCTGATCAAGGTCAAAATAGCTGGTTTCTCAGTGTTATCGGTTGGTTAATAACCCAGGTTGTTTGCATAACTTATTGTGAACTAACTAATGAAGTTGAAGTATATTTTTTTTGTTTTAATCAGACCGAATTCACCTAGAGAATGAATTATTCTCAAATTTTTCTATGTATAGATGATCTTTTATTTATTGATTATGGTTTCTATTTGGTGTTACTTATTGAAAGTCATTAAATTTCTTCCTGCTAAAAAAAATAATATCTGAATGATCTAACACAATAAAATGCTAAATGGTACATTTTACGTTGGAAAACCAAATTTAAATAATCTGAGTCATTTGATTATTTGAGATGTGTCAAAATATACAGTACTGTTCAGTAACTGAATCAAATAAAAACATTATAACTTAATGGATAGAATTCTATCCATACTTGGAATTAGTTTGTAGTCAATTTGCGTATCAACAACCAAGTCTTATGAGAAGCAGCCTGAATATTTCAATAACGTCTTTGACTCTAACAACGGCTGAAACAAAGATCCTATGTTCCCCTTTCAAGTTTGCAGATATACATTGATAATAAGTGCAAATTAACACAAAACAGCAGTCTTTGGCTTCTTATCTATAAAATCCACCAAGACTGTACTACTTCGTTACATGATCTACTGACTAACAAATATAATATTGCATTCTGTGTCTAAATAATAGAATTTTACCTAAATATATACAACATACTATGAGCCAATCAATAGCTACTAGTTGATGACAGTTTAAAAAACATTAACTTTATTCTTCAAATAAGGATGTAGCAGAAATTCCCTCACTTATTAATAATGGAGTTCATTATGCAGTTTTAAAAATAAATTACTGATACGTGACTCAGTATTATATCACAATAATATCTACTCAAACTCAACCAGAGGATTTCAATGTTTGAATTAGATAATATTTTTACTGATACCTAACATCCAGTGTACCGAATACTATCGATACACAGACTGTGTGAATATACGTTGTATAAAAGTCAAATAAGTAAAGTCTAATGGAACTAAATTCAGTTAGATAATGGTTTAAGGTAAAATTATAAAGGGGAAATTTAGTGGAAAAAAAATAATCATAGATTGTACACGTCAATTTTTAATGAAACAATAATATCTAATTAGTATAACAAGTCGGTGATTATTGATTTTTCATAGTGTACATTATGGACTGGTCTTAGTTGAAAAACCATTAGGAATCAGGATGCACTAGTCAAATAAGCAAATGAAGTCATAATTCCGTGTAGATTATTCATGAAAGTGTATTTTGATATTCCTGATTTGTTGAAACAATTTTATTAACCTTCTTAACTGAAAAAATATACAAAATATTTAAGCGATTCATTGCAGATAACAAATAGTTGACCTAAAAAAGTGCATGTCATTTACATAAATACACTTTGACCTAATTAAATCAATTTCCCATTTATATATAACTACTTAGGATCATGTTTGGAATACTGTTAAATCTGTAAATGTTGTTTATGATAAGGAGTCGTTGCTTTGATCATAGTATAACTGACTTGGCAACTACTTAACTAATTTTGTACTACACGAAAGTGTACTGTAGAGACAACAAAATGTTACAGCAATATATGAAAGTTCATATCATATTTTCAATAGAATCAAATCTTTAATTTACTCTTCACTGTTAAACAATATCTACCATCACTGATATTCATCTGTGAGTTGTCGATTGTACAACAACATACTTTCTTCAGTCGAATGAACATTATCTCGATTTTGAGCAAAAGTATCTGTTGAAAAATTCAATAACTGTTGGAACTTTTCATTTATTTTTGCCAGATTACTAAAAATACACATATTAGTGTCGTCTTTTTAGATGAAATTTGTACCTTAAGAAAATCACGTTACCAGTGTTATGTACACTGAACTACATGACTTATAAGTCGCACTGTTATTATTCTTCTTCTCGAAAAAGTAAATACATTCATAAAAAAAACTCATTTTGGGAAATTTGTCACTAGCCAATCAGAACGTGATGCATCAAATTTTTTTTATATGTAGTATGTAGTTAAAGGCAATCGACGTGTCTGAGACGTTACCAGTGAATTGTTCCAGTAGTAACCGACTTGGAAAGTCGTATCTGAAATATTTCGGAAGTTTACGCATCCTGAGGTGTATATAGCAACGACAAAAACTGTATTCATGTAGAGAATTTTCACTATGTTCACTTCAGACAGAAAAAATCATTGCTTAGACTTTTTTTTCACAGTTAATGCATATCTGATCATTCTTTGATCAATAACAGACAGTCTAAGTAATAGCGATGAATCATACATAATTTCTTTTTCAATATTGATCACTAACTAACTATATCAATAATTTTGGTCACATTTTGTAAACCATACATACTAGAATTTTATTTATACGTATAATTATGCAATGTATTTATTTATTTAGTTATAAGTGTTTTTGGGTGTATTGAATATACTCATTTCTGGAGTCTACAACCATTTCAATGAATAAGAATTTTAAAAGAAAATTATAATAAAACATACTGTATATTGTAAACATTTTATTTTTAAATATAATATATAAGGTAAGTAATCATCTGTACAGGTGTATGAATTGAGTGGGAAATTAAATGAACTACAATATTTTCAATTACTACTATTGTAATTTAACTAAACAAATTTAACAGATACCTTGAAAAATAATGTGTTATCGAATGTAACTGTTAAGGCACATAAATAGATTTTATTCAGTGTGAACAACAGGGTCTCTCTACAATGATATACACATTTATATTTTAGCAAAGTTTTATTCATACTCAATGGATGTTTCTTTAAATTGTAGTTAGATGAAATAATAATACAATTGGAGAGATTTATTCAAATTAATGTGAGAGATTTCCCCATGTAGACAGCAGTAAAATCTCTCTCTCTCTCTCTCTTTATTCTAGAAAACTTTTCAAACTTGTAGATGAACTTTTCCAAGTAATTATTTAAATAAATTCTTACTAAAGTTGATTATTGATTAGCAGTAGAATACAGAATGTGCATTTTGTTCCATTTAGAGCTAATCAGTGTTGGTGTTCAAACTAAGATTCAAACGCATTACTATTCGCTTCAAACTTCCACCAAGCTAATCAGGCTAAAATTTATATAACTGAATGACAGTCTACTCACGATGTACATATGACGGTGAAGATTAATCAGTTATAGTCCTTTGCTTCAACAATAGAAAAATTCATAACTCTTCAATGTAAGTACTTGAACAGTTCGTGCACTTCAATGGTTCTTTTACAGGTGGCTTAGTGTTTATTATTCAAGTGTTAATTGAACAAGTTAGAAAAAGATTATTCAGTTATACTCTTCATGATAATTACCTACTAAAGTAATTCAAAACTTAAACTTGATGTTATTTAAAACTTATCATCTGGAAAACTTGTAAATACAGATAATACTAAGACACAATGATTATATTCTTAAGTAATCTTAGATCTAAATGTAATTTTACAAGATTTGCTATAGAATTTAATTTAGTATAAATATTTTCACCAGATTTCTTTACTGATCTTAAATCATAGTTAATTTGTGTGAATTATTAAGCTTTCGCTATTATTCTATCTGTTTTGCAACTTAATGTTGTAACTCCATTGAAATAAAATCCAGACAACATGAAGAACTGATAGATAGGAATAAACTTGCGTCCTCGATTGCCCTGTTAGTCACCATCTATCTCTGCTGATAATGCTTATGACCTAGTGGTTATATCGAGGCGATCCGTACAGGATGCACAAATATCAAATGAGACTGATCAATTGCAGTTGAAACTATCAATGCGAATGGTTGAGATAAACAGTAGTTGTGGTAGTTAAGTCTGCTCATTTCTTAATTATTTAATTCATTACAATAACTTCAAACAACACAAGTAAGCAAATTATACATTAACGCTGTATAAACTAACACAGATTTTTTTTCAATGGACCAAATCTAGATCATAAATTTAGTAGTGTCTAATTTACAAAAGAATTTCAATGTTCCACTGAAAAAACCACAATAAAAAACAAGCAGTTAACTGAGATAACTATAGGTTATCAAGTATCTCTCCGAGAATACAGAAGTAGAATTGACAATTACGTTAATCAGTCTTTAGCTAAAGGCCATTATCATGATAATTAGTACTTAATAGCAATGGAATTCTATCGACCAACTTTGAAAAGTGGATTATTGAGCTAACTAACTTGGTATCACTATTCAATATGTTTAATTCCAGTTAGTCGGAAGCAATCAGCGCATGTTTGAATCTGTGACAGAGCAGCAGTTTCATAGACTATGGAGACAATTTCTTAATGAACACCAATCAGAATAAAAATTTTAAGGATTCTTAGATATTGCTTCTTCCAACAGTTTAACATGATAAATGAGTGGATTCGAAAAACCTTTGTCGCTGAATGTAACACTACTCTTTTGTAGACTAAACTACTAAAATTATCACTATTTCTAGAATAAACATAATTCAGAAAAAAATGAAATAACTTAAAAGTATTTTTAATTCAATACTATCTTTTGAAAATTCATTGAATAAACAGCAACTTATTTCTCCTAAGATAAAATACTAGCCCCACATTATCTGTCATTCAAATGTAAACGACGACTGTCTAATTATATGATTAACTCATCCATTTTGAGATATTTGGTGGTTGATAATGTTGACTGATTATCAAATTATTCTGTGAGTAGATTATGCTACAATATCTCTTTATACTATGAGCTTCAATTAATGCTTTGGAATTCGCTTACGCTAGTGTCTTCTTATTGATGGTGTTAAATGTCATTATTATATTATTAATCAGAATAATTTACACTTTTATTATCCTTAGTGCGCGTTGACTGAATATGCCTGCATCTCAGTACTCAAAGACACAATCTTTTGCTTCAACCTTCAACATATTATCCACTCAGGTACTAAATTCCAGTAATACTGCCTGGATTACACTGATAGGCACCGTTTAACTTTATATCTTAATTTCCCAGATTCATCCCTTTTAAATTAACAGTATCCTGTTGAAATTGCGTAATTTGAGTTGAATGGTTTGACTATGAGATTTCTATTATCCTTCTAAACAATAGTATTAGCACATAATTCAGACAGAAGTGTATTATGAGAATTTCTTCATAAAGGACTAGAAGTTCTTTATATTAAAATTCGAAGTCAACTGAACAGGCTATTAATTACATGTGGAGAACCTCTGGCAACTCACTTCTGCCTGAAGTTCTTGCTTATGGTTCTGTCTAGAAAGACAATGAATACTTCACAATTAAACTATTCTTGTCAGAGAATGTAATTTAAGACAAAATCATATTCTATGAGTTTCTATATTATCAATAATATGATTGTTTCAGCTTCCTTAATTACTTTTATCACGCTGTCCTGAAATGATATAGCGATACCGAAGGCTAAACATATCGAAGTCGCAGACTAGTTGTGGCTAATGAAATGTTAACAATTTGATGTTAATTTGTAAAGATGTGATTCAATGTTTAAAGTCCAACAGTTGTAAACCACCAACCGCATAACTTCTCAACATGACAGCAATACAAAACGAATATGACCTAATTCTGATCTCTTTTAGATTTTAATTTATTCGATTAACAGAAGACAAATTGATCCACATACTATCCATGTGAAATGTAACATGATTCGAAAATAATGCTTAGAAATGAGGATTAAAGGGTAGGTAATATGTGAAAACTGATCGTATCACTCTCAATAAAACAATGTATTGATAATTCTTTGTCCGTTTTTTTTCCAAGTGATTTCATAATTAATTCAACTCAGTAATAAAATTAAATATTCCGTTGATTATCATACAGTACATCTCCGATTTTTATTTAAATGTTTAAAATTTTAATGAACTTGAATTACAATCAGTGGATTAAAAATTTTATTATCTCTCAAGTAATCCAAAGAAATACATTGTTACTCAATGTATACGAGGTCTGTATTCGGTTGGTGAGTTGAATTTCTGTTTAGTCCTACATTGTATATATTTTAGTTCAAAGCAGTCAGAAAATCTTGAACACATTTTACCAATTCTTAGTACAATAACAGCATCGTTTAACATAAAAACAGTGTGTTCGACATTGAAGAGACATTTTTCCAATTAACTTCAAGATAAACAAAACTTAAATATTAGTTATCCTATAAATCAGTCTAAAATAACGAATTGTTACGATTGTATATTATTAATCAACACAATAAAAAGGGCTTCTTGAAATGATATTATTTTACACTATAGTTACTTGTTGTAATTTTCCATTTAAATAAACATTAAGTTATCATCTATTAATCAGCTACTAACATTTTATATCTCTATTCGTACACATTTTAAGATGGATTTAAGAAGAAAATTAAATAAAAACAGAAAAATTTCAAATTTTTCAATTGTAAATACATAAAATTGTTTTTAATATTTCCAAAACTATGTTTTTATAAACTTTGATAATGTTTATGAATTTGTTAGATGAAATGTCAAGAAAAATATTGCTGTGTGAATATTAATTAAAACTACATTATTTTATTACTAATCTACTAACTACATATTGATGAGATTATAGTATATCTGTCAGTATTTGACACAATATATTTGTATACGTACATATTGCAGTTTTTTAAACATCATCATCTACGTCAGATGTTACTTAGTAAAATGTAAACAGATTCCGTTTGTTACGTATACAAGAAAATGAAAATACACTAAGCATAATTGAAGATATTCATTGTCTTGCTATAATTCATACCATAAATAAACTTCCTCTTTCTCTTTTCATCATGTGAAGTTTGAGAGATTTCGATTACTTTATTTTTTCAAACTATCTATTCATACTGAACATAGAATAAATTCTTATTCAATAAAGTTAACAACAGAAATAAAATTATATAACACATCATCTTACCTGATATTGTCAGATTCAATGTAATGTTGTTTACGTTTCAGATTAATATTCTTAATGATACTCAAAAATGTAACCGAATCATGATAATCCTTTCCATATTAGTTCTGTTTTGTTTTAAAATTGATTATCAAATATTTATTTCTATAAAATTATTGTTTGTATTTATGATTTTTGTTTTTACAAAGTGCACTTTTGAATAATTTGAATGTTATTCACTTTTGAAATAACAATAATAATAATAATATTCCAAATACTAAATTATATATATGTATATGGTGATATTTAAATTTGTATTGACATTTTCAATATTCCAACTATTATTTGTTTTATCTTTAATATTTGTCCAATTAAACTATCGATATCATTAATGCTAATAGCAGGTAATTGATGGTAGTATACCAATGATGATAAGAAAATTGTAATTATTATTAAAAATCTAACCAACTAACTCAAACTAAACACATGAGATGAAAGTATGAATAAGTTTTTTTTTTAAATAATGTTTAACATAAACGAAAATCAATAATAACGATAACCATTATGCAAATATGTATTCATTCATATTATTACAGTATGTAATTTCACTGAATATGATCCGTGTATGAATTCTTCTAATATTGAGACAATATGTCAGTGTAATAATGAACTCATGTCAAAATGCGAAACAATAATCTATCTAGACAAGAAAGTATAAGTCATTCTCTATTTTTTTTTGAACAATAAGTTATAACAAGGCGAATATCAGAACTACCTTCATATGTTTGTCTGTCTACAATCAGTGGGTGTGTATATGTATGTGTACGAATATATGCGTATGTTTTTATGTGTACAGAATGATAAATTGTCTTTCTATTCAAAGGAAGGAAAAAGGAAATACGTAAATGTCATTTTGACAAGTTTAAATTATTGTCTGTGAAAAATGATTGATGATAGTTGTGTTTTATTCAGTATTCCAAATTCATTACTGTACGTTGTTAAAAGACGGATGGCTATAGAGAGCGGCGGTTGATAAATGATGAAAGATGAAAAATAACATGAAATGTGTTAACAACCATGATGTATTCCCACCTACTCATTGACTAACTTTCTATATTTTTTTTAATTAAAAAAATTTGTAATGGGTAAATATTTGCATTCTTCTATTGCATATTATAACCTATCTCTGTCAAATTCGCTAGTCAGAATATTTGAGTGGTGGGGTTTTTGGTTCTGAAGGGGGTGTACATATTATAAACGGTGTATGAATAGGCAAGTATGTAGATATGTTTGCATCTCTATGAGAGAAAACGGATAATTTAATTGTTCACGTGTCTCTGGCACTGATTGGACTACTGCTGAGTAAATACAGTCCTCCTGGTTTTGTTTACACGTTGAACAAAAGTAGTCTACTGACAAGTATAAACTACCTATCAAACATTGTTTTCAGGCTGTGATAAGTGTAAATAAGTAAAAACTGTTCATTCATTTTGCCTACTTACATATTCAGCATTTATAAAACCAATATAACACAACAGACATTCATTCATATAGATAGTCCTTCTGAAGGGAAGTTAAAAAACACAGGGAATGAAAATATGTGTATCAAACAAATTTTCATTGGTGACACTGTAAACAAATAAATTCTACGACTTTAACGGGTTTGAGTTGAACAAATGAACAAATTAACCAATCAGAAAGAAGTAAATACATCAGCATGTTTTGCATGATTGGTTACTTCTAGCGCTATGATTTATTGTGTACATTGCATTTATTTAAGCAATACATACAAAACAAAGTTGAAGGGGTTGAGGGTATGATAGAAAATATCTCAATACATACATACACATAATTCATAAATAACATACCTCTACACGGAAATACATAACTAAAAGAGAGAATTGGTATATCTGGCTGGGAAATGATTCCTTATGCGAATAAACAATGTACGTCAGTGCGGACTGTTCTGTCTCTCTCTCTCTCTCCTACACATGAATACACACAAATGCATATAAAATATACTGGAACATTTCCTTGTTGTTTGGCCCATATGTCTGTGTTAAATGTGGTTGAATCTTAATTTTGACAACAGTATGTACGAAATTTATGGTAGACTAATAAATAATAATTTTTTCTTACAAGTCATATATTACTTATTGATTTACACAAGTTTTTTCTTAAACAACTTAATTTCGGGATGAAAAATCTCTGATGTATATATACTTTAGAAAAAGAAAAATCATTTAATGAATAAACATAGAGCTATTTAAGATTCAAGAATAACTAATTATCATGACTACATTTCATTTTAGAATAAATGATAAAATAGTTCTGTCAAATCTATATTTAAAAAAAGACTACATGTTATTTTAACGAAGATATTTCACTATTCGTAACGACTAATATTATTTATACATTTATAATATCTGAGATTTAGTAAAATGAAGGTGAGAGAAAATAATCACAGCTGACATCGAAGACAGATTAACAGGAAAATAATCTCCGCTGTCCAGTTATGCATAGCTGTTTTTACAAGTTGTTGACATTCGCATTTAAATAATGTATATGTAATATATAAGGAATAAAACCTTGTTAACGATTTTGCAGTGGGTGAAACCAACCTGAAAGGACAGAATCCAATATGAGTGATACTGAACTCTTTTTTAAACATTGGATGCGCACTGCTGATGAGTCCCATACCAGGACGAAACGGCCGTCCAGTGCTTCCAGGTTTCTAATGGTGGTCTAACAATGATTGATTGATGATTACAAATGTATAGAAACATAAAACCTCCAAAAATTTGCTCGAAAATAAAAGAAATTTATTACCTTCGTTCTCCATTCTTTTAAATTTAAACTACTGATTAGCATATTTTTCATCTCCTATTCTGTTAGCTTTCCTTATTTACTACTGATCAATATTTTCTCTTAAAAATCACCTTTATGCCAGCATACTAATTATACTTCTAACGATATTCTGAAATGAATCTTTACATAACTATTCCTTGTAAACATTTTTGAAATTCAACTACAGTTTAAAAGTCACACAGCTATGCACACTGAAAAATAATAGGTATGCTCATCTGACTCAGGTTACTGCAACTATTATACTTTGTTGGATGTGATGCCGTTGTCCAATAATTACGGCTGAAGATAGTTAGAAATGTAAATTGTGGAATGTTGATGCAGTAGTTTGACTGTTAATCACTCTCTGTAAGATTTAACGAGTCATGGTTCGTTTTTCTATGTAGATCCTAGATGTGCATTACCATCATCATCATTTTTTAGAACAAGACATCCATTCAGTGTGTTCTAGTTTTTACCGGCTATGTAACTAAGGTCAGTCGGTGATATAAACTATGAAATTCAGCAATCTTCACAAACTTTTGTACTCTCATTATTATTAAAAGTTTGACTTGATAGAAAACTTGATTAAAAATTGGTGTTTTATGCATTCAATTAATTTTCATCTTGTCTAATGAAACATGTGAACACGTGTTTTTGTCAGAGTTTTATTTTTCAAAACAAATTTAACTGTAGGCACGTGATTAAATGAAAAAAAAATCATTTTAATGAATTACTATGTACTAGGTCATTGTGATTACAAATCTACCTACCATGAATGTTGTTAATGTTCGCTGGTTATAATTAGTTTTCCTTATCATGTCAATGGTAGAGAGAGAGAGAGAGAGAGGATGATGGATAATTCCTAACAAATTCATCAATTCATATAAATCAAATCAAGAAATGACTCACTAAATATATAACTTTTTCTTCATACCATGCATTGAATCGATTCACAGATTAACTAATCAACAATTCATAGGGTAAGATCAAACTATTGTTGTTCGCTGGTTTAAAAATCTGTTTAATTATTAGGGTTTACAATTTTTTGTTTTCCTGACAATTAGGACAACAAATGCTCAGTCGCTATCGCTATGCGTGCATTCTGAGCAAACTGTCTCAATATAGCCTTTGGTCCTACCAACTTCCAGAGTTTTTTACTCATTTCTTCTTTAGCCAAAAGCTGGTTTGTTCCCTTACGCAGTAGGTTGTTGCTGATGGTATCTGACTGACGGATATGAAGCATCTTGCATAGACAGTTGTTAATAAACCCCTGTATTTTTTGGATTATGGATTTCGTTGTTCTCAAAGTTTCCTCTAGAACAGTATTGAAAATTGTGACTTCCATGTTGGTTGAGAGTTGTTTTGAGCTCCAGACGTTAAGCATTTGTAGAAATACTGCCCTTGCTACGCCAATCCGTGTCTTTATATGCGCATCAGATCCACCTTGTTTATCAATGATGTAAAGGTTTCCACACCATTCAAAGCTTCTCAGTAAATTGTGATTTGGTTGGTGCATGTTGTTTTGTATATAAGGATCTTGTATTTTCTTTTGTGTATGCTGAAACCTACTTATGCAAAGGCTACTAATACATTGATCGTCTATATATGTATTTGTTGCTGTCTGTGTGAAATGAGAGCTAGATCATCTGTGAATTCCAAATCGTCCAGCTTCATTAGATCTGTCCACTTCATCCCTTGCTTCCCCAGAGATGTTGAGGTTTTCATAATCCAGTCAACCAGCAGGCGGAAGAGAAAGGGTAAGTGTAAGCAACTTTATCCGACTCCAGTTTTCAGTTGGAATGAGTCTGTGAGCTTCCCTCCACGCACGATTTTGCAGCGTAATCTGTCATAATAAATCTGTGTGATGTTAACTTTCTTCTTATATAAACCGTAGTATCGAAGAATCCTCCATATTATCATTCTATCCACTCAGTTAAATGCCTTCTCATCGTCAAGGAAGTTGATGTAGAGTGATAAGTTCAATTCATTTGACTGTTCCACAATGATCCAAAGTGTCACGACTTGTTTGGTACACGATCGATCTTTACATAATCCGACCTGTCGACCTCGAAGCCGGGCATCTACTGCATCGTTCATTCAGTTTAACAACACGATGTTAAAAACTTTCCTGGTATAAATAATATAGAGATTCCTCCCCAGTTCTCACATTTGCTAAGATCTCCCTTTTGCGGTATCCTGATGAATTAATGTTCTTTCCAATCTGCTGGCATATTTTCCTCTTCCAAATCTTTCTGAACAGAGCGTGGAGCCTCTCTGC